TACGCAGCGCATCTTCCTTGCCAAAAAACCATCTCTGCTCTTGTGCACCCAACCTCCTTTTGGCAAGCAGATCTGTCACTAGTGCTGCCAGTTCTGTAGGGSCTTCCATACAAGATGAAGGAGGAATTTTCTAACAAGCTCTTTTATTAATCTTCATTGGACTTGTTTTGTGCTCTTCCCTTGCCCTTGCCATAATGATAGATGTAGATCATCAATAAAGTAATGATTGTTTAGCACTAGTCTGTATTCAGACTGAGTATATTTTCTGGCGCAGCTCAGCAGGAATATGCTACCACATTCCAAATATTCCTTGCTAAGTACAGGACAAAAATATTAATACATAAAATATGACAGTATCATGGCACAGCTGAGGTTGGCAGGGACCTCTGGAGATCATCTAGTCCAACCCCCTGCTCAAAGCAGACTGCTCGGGGCCTTTTTACAGTCGTGTTTTGAATTATCTCCAAGGATGAATTCGGGAGTCACTGGAGCAGAAAGTACCTACTCTGTACCTGAAATGCTGTCAGGAACTATTAAAATAGGCTGCAGCCTGTGATTTTGTGTACAAGGTAAAATGTAAACTGGGTTTTTGGTGGTTCTAAAATAAAACTTTGATTCTAGAGTGCCACTTGAGGGGAAAAAACCTTGGAAGACCAGGTCACCACAGGTCACCACTAGTGTTCAAGTATATTATAACTCCTTAGAGGTGAACATAACCCATCTCAGGTTTCAGAGCCTAGATGCGGCTCTGACAAGATAAAGCAAGCAATAGCACCACTTCCTTTTAAAAATAACTGGCATTAGAGCTATTACCACCACTTGCAGAGTGCTATTCATCATCTGCCAGAACCATTCTTTAACCAAATGTTCTCTCCAGTCATTAGCACATTATCTGTGGGGGACAGCTTCTATAAATGGGCTTGATGAAAATGTGAACTTTCAAATTGAGGGGTGTTGTTATAGTTAACAGTGCAATTTCTCACTGTAATTACGTCAGCAATGAAAGCAAAAAGAAACTGATTCATCTTCAAAACATTTCCCTTTTTGCTTGTTTTTCTCACTGTATGATGTTTCATTGCTAGGAAACACACGCAAACTCCTACTGAGGATTCCCAATAAAAAGCCAGTGCAAGCAGTTATCACCAGGTTGCATAATTTTCTCCTCTGCCTAGAACAGCATCTACTTGCAGCCGCTAAGAGCTAAGGGAGCCAAGCTGTATTTTCTCATGGCTTTTTGCCTGTAAGTGATTACGTTGCTTCTCCTAGAAAAACACATCAGAAGTGCTTATTTTCTCTGTTTTTTCCTACAGATTCAGGGTGATCTTGACAGACAGACCACTTGACTTTAATCAGACAGTCATATTGATAAACCTCTGGGTTTAAAATGGCACTGACATTTCAAGGGTTTTTGTTGGAGGGAGCATGACTCATAAAGCATGATCTTGAGGGGCTGGCGTATGCCAGCAACATGCAGCTTTCGCATCAGCCAGCTCCCAGGATCTGGTGGAGAAGTAGCTATACATCCATGGAAACCTTTCTCCATTTTTGTGTGATTGGCAAATTGTGAGTACTCTTTTCACCCTGCCAGCTTCACTGTCACTGTTGGTGACTACTGGTCATGATTAGTGACTATTGGCACAGTGCCAGAAGGGCTTTCTGCTGAAAACTTTCAGTGGACCCTTGCAGGTTTGGTTACAGGGAATCTCTTCTGCACTTATGAATTACATTAAACTTTTAATCTTTAGGATACCCTGAAAAGCTTAACCCTTTACTTCATAAAAACTGAACAATAGCTGTTTGCATTTTTAGGGATTATCATGTGGTTTTGTTGTGTTTTTTACTAATACCAAATATGCCAAGTTTCCAAACCAGATGCCATTTTAACTTTCACAAATGGAGCAAGCACATGAAAACAAGTTGTTTCATACAAGACTGGAACCAGGGATGCCTGATTGCCCCACTTGCTTCCCTGTGACCCTCCCCACACCAAGGGGTCAGAACTCGGTGAAACTCCAACAGGACAGAAACTTCCCTGTACCTCTCATGCAGGCTCTTTCCCCAAATCTCYGGCAGAGACATCACTGCTGCAATGCTTCAAAAGCAGAAATAGTGCAACTTTCTGCTCACAGAATGCAAACTGCCACAGCATCAGGATCAGGGGCATTTTAAAGTGACATAAAATAACTTCTATTTTCAGATATGATTCCCCTTTAATTACTTACAGATATATATGAGCACTATTCAGTTAATGTTTCAGAATATATAAGAGCTTAATTTAAATAGGGGAAACACTTATAAATGGAATTATTCAGGCTCTGGTTTTCCCCACTTGGGAGTTTTCTTCTTCCATGTCTTCTGCTGGCTTTACCTCCAAGTCCCATGTGGTATATCCACTGTTTCGAGCCTAGCTATGCGGACATTTCCAACTACACCCTCAGTTACTTTTGCCCGAGTATTACCTCCTGTGTGCAAAAAGAACATCCTTAAATATTTCTACAGGACGTGTACTTATTTCAGGGGTGCAGTTTTAAGTTGTTCTTTTCTCCTAAAGTTATATACTGGGTCACCTAAGCCTTTCCAGACATTTAGCACAGTATTGCTCTTGCCTCCTACACAATCCTACATGACCCTGATGAGAAACAGCTCCTGAAGTTCTGGGACAGCACTCTGGCCTCTTTTTGTTTTGTATTCTTTATGCCTTTCAACATACAGTTTTTTTCCATTACCTGCTTCTTTAATGTTTCTCTCTCACACATATTTTCCATATAACAAATGCATTCTCCACTTGATTATTACTAGGTCTGTATGAGAGCAATTCAAGTTTTGTGGGGCAGGCCTAGTTTAGGATTAGGAGTCAGAGCTACCAAAAGATTTACACCTGTTCTGATTTAGAACTTTAGTACAGTCTTTTCCAGGGCTCAGAACTTTCAAAGTACTCCTAYGCGGTAGCGGGCTCAGAGAGGGAGTTTGCAGCTAGGCAGATTTATAGCTTTCAAATATATAAAATCTAACATCACTGTCCTATCCTGATGTCAAATGATTCATTGGTCTGGGACCTTTTTCTCTCTCAGCCTGGCCATCTTCCCAGAAATTACCAGTTCAGGATACCTTTCCTCTGGTAGGTTATGTTTCAAAGTAGGCAGATTAATTCAAGCTGGACCATCAGCCATGAGCCATTCAGCCACATGAACAACTTTTACAGTAACTAATACCTATTTCCACTATGTCCTGGCAAATATTTTTTTTAAAAAAAATCTCTGCATAAAGATCATCAGAAGCTACTGGAATGTTAAAGGTCTCATATAACAAACTGGGAAGACCCCAAAGTGAAGGTCAAACATGAGAAGTTTAGGCTTATATTTCAAAACTGTGGAGGGAAGATGCTATGAGGGCAGACTGAAATCTGAYTTCTAAAAACTTTAAGCCAAATGCTAGACACCATTCATAGGCAACATTACTGAACTTCTGTGGATAATGATTCCCCTTCTTCTAAGTCTTAAAGCACACTGTATACCTCCGCCTTCATGAAAAAAATTTAAAATATGMAAGCACATATAGGTGATAAAAGATGTAATTTGTTTTCCACATGTATATTACAATGGCATATACCTTAAAGGAGATGCAGTAATTTAGTAATTGGTTTTGTTCACTGAAAAAAAAAAACACTACTGAAAAACTGTAGTTTTTTTGTTAAACTTGTCATTGATCAAGCTGAACATGTACTTTGTAAGTACTGGAAATAGGAAAAATATATTTGACGCTGGTTTGCTAGATTTTTGCAACTATTTTATCAGATGAAACAGCTGAATTTGGGACTTGCATAYTGCTGAAAATAAAATTATCACATTGAGTTCAGGGAAAGCAAAACTGTAGCAGAGCCATTTTYTTTCTGCTAAGTTCTCCTGTTACTTGGGCTTGGGGAATTACTTGTGACACAAGTCAAAGCAGTCATGGGGTTACTCTAAGCCGAGACTAGTTGCCTGCCAAAACAGTTCCCAGAGATTTCCCTAGCAGATGAGAATTATGGTAGATAAGTGCCCTGCTCTGCAACACCTGGAGCTCTTCTGGACTGAGAACAACAGGTTATGGGGTCAATCTCACCTTGATACTAAGACACAGTTTCAGCCATTCTGGCATAAACTAGCCCTTCCTTAAAGAGACACTGAAGTCACAGTGTACCAATGTTACCACTTGGATGTGGCCTAATAGCTTTATTTTATACAAAAGAAATGCTGAATCATTGAAAAGGACAAGTCAAATTCATATTAGATATGTTGTAGAATAACACATTTTCTTCTGCAGAATAAATGTCAAATAAATATCACTTAGGACTGAAGGCAGTTTGACTGGGGTGTTGGATAACTCTTGGAGCACAAACAGGATCTTCTAAATTAGTTAGCAACATGATGGAAAACTTYGGCCTGAGTAAAGATTTAAATGTCGTCTTTATCCATATAATGAAATCTGACTGATTTACACGTAAACCATCTGGCAATACAAGAAATGCAGGAACTGTTTGACACCAACAGACCGGTCTTCTGTTTAAAAATGCCAAGACTTCTGGATTCCTGGCTTCATAGGCATGCAATGCAGTGCAGCTGTGGCCATTCTGGGGAAAGCAATGAGCTGGGTGTTATTTTAGTATGCTCTCAGCAAATACTGTCTGAGAGTTCTGTCCTCTGAATAGTTACAGTTTGACAGCTGCTTTTTATTCAGAGAAAAATAGCAACTGTAAAGYTGCTTGCTACTTTATTCACCTGAAGCTAAGCAGCAACCAGGGTCCTAGGACATTAAAAGACAGATTTTTCACTTAGTACTTCTGACCCCAAATCACTAGGGATCGATTGGTCAGATTGCTAGCCATTAGTTATCAGCATGTTTTTTATGTCTTGGTCCCTTCCAAGATTAAGSCCTACACAAAACTATTACAAACGGTATATTCCTGGAATTGGGTTAATAGTGGAATGCTGATTTTGCATACAAAGCTTTGCAGGTCCTACCTGTAAAGTGCTGATGTGAACAGGAGTCCCTGTGCCATTCACAGTGTTCTTCTTGGCAGCATTTCCACCCTTTCCTTCTGCTTGCTCTGCCTTGGCAATCTTTGCTTTTTCGGCTTCAATTCTCTTTGGATTGTTTAGCATTACCTGAACCACAGCATACTCCACCAGGGATGCAAAYCCAAAGAGAAGGCAAACAATCAGCCAGACATCTAAGGCCTTCACGTAAGACACTTTGGGAAGTTCAGCAGCAAGAGTGGTACATTCAGATGCCAAGCTGAGCACTGAGAAAATACCTACAGAAAGAAAAAAAACAATATATTGAATAATAAAACTTCCCTTTAATGACACTGGCTCTGCTCTTCCTCTGAAACAGACAACAGTGAATGATGTAACAGTGAATGGRACTTCACAATGTGGTTGGGGCAGCAGGTATACAAAGAGCATATGCCTTCAGCTAATGAACAAGTTAAACTGAACATTTAGGTAGAATAGWGCAGTTAATGATGAATTATTAATAATGAGTACCTTCATTTTATAAACAGAGAAACAAACAAGTGAGACTAAACTGGTTGTTATGGTTTTCCTGTCCCATCACAMATCACACAGTTGGGCAACAGGTTTTTCAAAGATTTATCTTACAATGTTCATCTAATTCTGAGAAGGTGAAAGAGAAGTATATTACACTTAAACCATAAGTCTCYCAATCCTTTAAATTAGTCTATGCTTGTCCCAGAAATTTAAATTGTGCTATAGTAGGAGATTCTCTGAAGGATCTGTTCACAAGCATGATATTCAGACTTTAGGTGAAAGGGAAGTTTTTGCTAAAGAGCAAAGCTGTATGAGTGAATCAAAAAGCCTGTGTCCCCAATTTACTGTGAAGCTGAAAACGTGGAGGTGACTGAGGGTCTACAACCATTCCCTATTTGAGCTTCCAGGATCAACTGAAAGCTTTCAAGATAAAGGGCATTTCATGAAACCCTTAACATAAAAAAAGCCCACATGTGCAAAGACTATTGAAAGGTAACACTCATCATGGATTTCAACAAGCATTTCTCCTAATGAGGCTTCCAAATGTCACCATCAACACAGGATTCATATTGTAGGAGACAAAATACAAGCCTGACCTCAAATAAAGATTTCTCACAGGCACCTGTGAAAATAGTAGCATGAACAGCTACACATGGAAAAAGCTAACTTCTGAAGTGGCTATCATGTGGGRAAAACTTAGCTCAAACTCCAAATTCAGAATGTCCCATTTTGCTTTTGTGAATGCTAATGATAAAAATCGTGGCTTATGAGTGGGGAGCTTAATGAAATAAAATTGATGTCTATAGAAAATAYTGCCTAAAAGGAAGTATTCAGTTAGTGTCAACTATGTTTCTCATATTGCATAAAAAGTTTTGTGATTCATAGAGAGATTATTTCCTTCAGATCCATTTTAACTAACTGAAGATGAGAAAATGTAAATTAAAATGAAAGTATCTGTATTGGCCTATGAAAATATTCATTTCTATTTGATCATAAACAACACATTTTTAAGTTACTGTTCCCATTTGGATTTCAATAAGATTGATATGACACTTTATTTGGTGTTAATCTCAAATGGACAGTTTACTAGCTCCTAAAACACTGAAGCATAAAGAAATGTTTGCAGTCATGCAGTTTTTAACCACAGAATTTTATGATTCATTTTTAGAAATGTGCAGTATCAAGGTATCACTGCAAAGCTGTATTTTTTTTTTTTTTTTTTTGTCCATGGGGACAATAAAGAATGTGTTAGAACAGAATGGTATGGCAAATACTGAACAGAATTCTCGTGTAAATTCTGGCTTACTTTCCATCTACTTATCTGAAGCATTCACGTACAAATATTCCCATAAGGATAAAAAGTGAACGTAGAATACTCCTCTTTTAAGAAGTTATTTTCACTTACCAACACTAGCAGTCTGGGGATCAACACTAATTACGGATCACAAGGAACTGCATTAACAAGTATAAAAAAGGCTGTACTGCCTCTTAGCATATACAGGACACATCTGTCTGTGCCCAGCATGTTCATTCTCCAGCAGTGTATTGCAGCAAGTACCATGCATGGCTATGCTTGACTTTTGAAGGGCAGCCACTATCCTTCTGAATAACCAAATTAGCCAAAGACGTGGACTGGCTCAACATCTTGGATATAACAATCTTTTTCATACTGACTTTAAAAGTGTTTACTGCCTTAACATGTGATAATTAGTATCATGCCTGGTGYCAAAAAGATTTGTACACCCACTTTTTAGACCTTAAAATACTATACCTTACAATCTCGGACTGAATTCTACAGAGCTAACTTACGAATTCTACTACCTGAAAATACTTTTGTGGAGCTTTCATTAATGTGCCCAATAGAGCAACTGAGGTCATGGTGACTAGCAGCCAATTTCCCTTTGTCTGGATTCCTACAATGAGTTCAGTCTCAGAGTCTAAGAAACTTCTASGTTTTCAAGGTAACAACAAAGTGAGACAGAAGCACAGAAATATTCTCTTCAGCAACAATTCACTGCCTGAAGAACACTGGCATGGCTTTGGAGACCCTAGTTCCAGAATTTTAAGTTGCACCTCTGGCAGCAGCTGCACAAGGTGCCTACCYGTCACAGTCCAAAGCTTAAGACTCAAATATGAGTGAGGAGCACAAACAAGCAAACAGAAAGACCTGAAATAGCTGCTCATCTAATGAGATCTATAASTAGCCACTGGCACACTTTCTGGGTCTAGGTATCATTTATTTGACACACAAATGTTCATCTTGTTATATTTCAAGGTCAGCAATCTCAAGGATGCAGCTAGACGAGTTAGCTTGTTGCTCTTGTGAAACTGGAGAAACATAAATCTTATCCTAGTGACAGTGTTAATAACTCATACTAAATACTGACTCAACTAAATGATGGTTGTTTGATTTTCTGGGAATTAAGGAAAAGTCATATAGGCAGGYCAATGGCTAGTATCTTTGAAAAGGCATTATTTCAAAAATGCTGCAACACAGTGGAGAAGCCAATAAAAATTTACAGTGAACAAAATAAATAAAYAATAAATAAACATGCACTTTTAGTTGAAAAGACATCCACATTACTTAAATCCATGCCAAGACTCTTACAAATCTATATATAATAAATAAGCCTGTCTAGTTCACTATTTGAAGCATGGGATTATAAAATTGGCAGTACAGCTTGGTTTTGATTCTATTTGAATTTACTATGTGAAAAAAGTTTCCAGTTCCACTTTCGATCTTTTTAATCCAATGCATGTTACATTTTCCCCACTCTTTTTGTCTTAAAATGTTCACTTAATGTTTTGCATTATGTAATGCAACATTGCAACTTTTTAAGGTAAAAGATTGTATTTGTTACTTGCCATGAAACTAATACAGACTGAGACTACTTCCCAAGTAACTATTTTTAAAGATCATAAGGAAAAAAATTAAAAAGCGGCTGCACAGGAGTCACATCCTGTGGAGATGTAGAATGTTCCAGTGTAGGTAAGAGGTTTCTGACAAAGGCAGGCAGCTGGAGTGATTCTGCAACTGCACCACTGCGGTATTTAAAACAGGTGAACTGAACCTGCWGGCACATGGCAAAGATTTGTAAAGTATGGACCTGGAGAGGAGGGAGTGCTAGGGAAAATGGGAGCCTTGGGAGGCCASAACATGGGAAATGGAATCCAAATAGGAGAAGTGTCAGGACACAAGAGCCTGGCTCTGCATGTTACTGAGCTCTTGGGGTTAGCAGGTTTGATCACCTCAGAGCTGTAATGCCCTGTAAAATTCGATTAGTCAAGATAATATTGTTTCTATTAAGTCTGTGTCCAGCTATTACATAGTAAGTGAAGGGCCTGCTGAGCAGCAGAACTGTATGAACTTGAAGTACTCTCGTGAACTGAGCCTGTAATGAAATAAAGCCAGTCAGGTAACAGGAACACTAATTCTTTTCCAAACATCATTGTTTCTAATTAATCTTCAGAAAGACTGTTCCAAGAGGTAGCTATTTAGAGCCTTACTTATCATCCTGCTTTCTTACTGATTATTCCAATGTTGAAATTTCTATAAACTCCATAWTGCCACAGTGTTTGCAGTGTCACCCGTACAGAGATAGATTGGATTGTTCAGGTTGAGAGGAGCACAGAGAGTGTGTCTGTGACACAAATGCTGGAACTACTATCAAGTGATGTCTTAATGTCGAGGTGGAGTTTACAGGACTAGGAATGAGCAGATTTCAGTGAAAATGATGAGCGGATAATGGAAGTGAAGTTGCTTTCAGGATCCAGTGTCATGTAGCCAAAGCAACAGAGAATGGCTCAATGGTGTTACAGCGGATTGTGACAGCATTTGAAAACGTGGGTTACCCAGTGGGACTCTTGCAGCACTTGCATCAGGATTGATCCAAAATGACAGCCAGGATAGAACAACAATTAGCAGTGTAGGAGCATAAACACCCATCATGTAAAATCCAACTTGTCTTCTTAAAGTGAAGATTACTTCTACACAAGTGTAATAACCTTTAAAGAAATAAATGGATTAATGTTTAATGTGCTTTSCAGGTGAACCTCTGACCCATATCTTCCAGGTCTTTTTCTGCTTAAGAGCAAAAGTCCAATGCTTCGATTTTCTTTATAAAAGTAAAGAATTTAATTTGAAAAAAAAAAAAAAACTCAAAACACAGATCTACTAAAGCACAAAGTGTGGTCAGGCTGTGGTACTCTGTGCTCTGTAAGGAACCCTTCAGCTTTTCAAAGCACATGARTAGCAGGAGGCTGAAGTGACTTCTACCTTTGATGCTGGCTTCAAGATGCAGTCCAGATAAAACCAATGGAATCTAGCAGTCCCACTAGCTTAAGCTCACCTGAAAATCCTACTTAGCATTAATTTGTGCAAAAGATGAACTAAGAAATATTAGTCTGGAAAGTTTAATATGGAAAGAGGTGATGTGAACGTGACTCAAATSAGAGGTTTCCCCAGTACTGAAAGCTGATATAGGTGACTTCTAWAATTGGTACAGGGATTTTAAGAAATACTCTAGAAAACCTGTAAATTTTACAAACAAGTAATAATGTATCAAATCTTTCAAAATGAAATATACAAACATTTCAGAATATATCTGTTTAAGATAAATTCAATTAAAAATTCACATTTCCTAGACGTTTTGCTGTAGATAACAAAGATATTAAGAAGTCTGATAACCAGAAAATAATTTCAGTCCMTCTTTTCACTCAGCAGAGTGGGAATTTTTATGTTAATAGTAACACAACAGTAAAAAAAAAGGCAAAAAAACCTGAAAACTTCAAAAACTATTCTATCAAAACGCATTCCTACGTTATATTACAAGAACTCCAATATTAAAATCAGACTATATTTATCAGTCCAGTTGGTGCAAAACTGATTTAGAAGAGAGAACGTGTCAAAATTTTTCTATTTATCTTCCATATTTTATCAGTTAAGTGCTGTACAATGACAAGTCATTGTAAAAGCATTGTTTGGGCATACAAACACCAAAACAATAAACCATTAAAGAAAAACATCCTTGTGTAGAAGAAACTATACTGTATTTTATAGTTCATTCTGTCATCTTCAGTGATCTGTTGGCTGAAAAWTTTTCACTATATAGTTTTTGAATGGTTTCCAGATACTTTTAGGTTTTATTTTCAAATGAGGAATGACCTYCAAAATCATTATTTGTTTCTGTTATGTTGGAAGTGCATTCTCTATGCCTTCATTTGAATAATATTTCATCAGACAGAGTATTGTACCCATTGCCCTCACCATTCAGCTTGAAAGGACCTATTTGATGAAAACCAGAAAATTTGCAAATATAAATATTCAATGTATTGCCACAAAAGCAGCCTAGATTTGCTGAACCCCTTTCAACTTAGGTAGGTATGATAAAACATCAGTCGACAAAAAGAGGCAGTAAAGATTAAGTTTCTTTGCAGTTGACTGCAATCTCMCACATAAGCCATAATTTTGAAAATATGCTCCTTAATGCAAAACTTCTCTTGATTATCTGACAAAGTCCTTAGCTGAAGTAATTTTAGCTTTGTGTATGAAATCTGCTTTTAAAAAATACCTTCAGCATAAGAATTTTTAAGACAATTTAAAAAATGGATTATTGAAAACAGCCTTTAACTTCAGAGTAGTAAATATTCCACCCTCGTTACTGAAGTATTAATTCTGGGTTTGATTATGAGATTAAATGGATGYTCTTAACAGACAGGATTTGCAACAAAAGAGTTGTGAAAACTTTTAAAAATGGTTCTCTCATTTTCTTTCTTTAATGTCCAAAGTGCACACACAGAGAATGTGAACATTTTACTGAGCATTTTGCAGTGTCATATGTGGTCACAAGTCACTGAAACTTGAGAGAACACCACTGATTTTCTTTGTCTGTAATTCTTAGATATTTTTCTTTAAGATTCCTAAAAATACCTGGAATATTTAAATTTTTTTTAGACAYTTAATTTCAGATTTAGGGCACACCTCAAAATGATTACAAGTAGAATATTAGTTTCACAGTTTTCCCATTTTTACAAATTTCATTTGGGAAAATGCAAGATCCATTCCTTTAGTTTTTCACCACTTATAGACTACTTCTTTTCCAGTAAATTCWTTGTTTAACTAAGAACAAAACATTTTTTCTTACTGCTAAGAAGGTTTTATCAACTTGAATGCAATCACTGCTGGCTGATGGATATGCTTTCAAAAAAAGCAGAATTTTTCTGAAGAGAGACAACTAGTTATTATTTACAAATTATAAATCACCTGAGATGCTGAATTATGTTCTTAGGCTGAGAATTCACTCATTTTGCAGTTAAAAAACAAAGTGCACTTTTATTTTCATTATCTTTTCCAATTAAATTCTTAAGTCTGAGATCTGCTAAGGTTCCTTGAGATCTCTCCAGGCTTGGAATACCACAGGAGCAAGTGCAAGTGACAGAGCCTCCACTTCAGCTGAATAGGCAACAAGAAACTTGCAGAAGGTTCTCAACAGCTGCAGCACCACAGCCTTCCCAGTTGAGTTTTAATAGGAGATTCATGCACATGATGCAAAAGCACTGACTAAAATACACCTGTTCTTGTAGARAGCCTTGTGGTTACCACAGCATGAGTAGTTTGAATATAATCATAGGCAGGAATCAATCAAGGTAAAAAAGATAAATCATTAAAAGCCAGAGTACAGAAAACACTGGAAAATTTTGTGTCCCCAATAAAAAAATAATCATAGGAATAAATAAATACAGGGCTGAGATTGCAAGCAGCTTCCACTTACGGAAAAAAGTCTTATCAGAAAATGAAAATTTACCCACTTTGCTGCAACAGGCATGATTATGCCTAAACATCCTTTCAAAACAGTTAGACATTTACAAGTATAAACAGGTATTAGTACTATAGAAATAAAATGGTGATAGTAAGATCATGAAATATGTAAGCAAAATCAAGGCAAACATTTAATCTCTTCTTCAATCTGGATGTTTCTATATTTGAATCAGTTAGTAGTGATCATATATTAAAATATGAACCACTAAATTAATCTATTTTACGCTGTGGAATGTAAGATATTCCAGGGACTGGAATATAAACCATTAACTATAAACAGTAATTGAAGGAAGCTTATAGTTTTTATCAAGGAAATCACTTATATTACTCACCTGTGCCTTTGTAGTACTTGGTGCAGTTACCATATTCAATATCCTCCTTTTTAATATCAAACTGAGGCAGAGCAATTTTCTCTAGCTGTACAGGATCTCCAGACTGCCAGATAAACCGTAAGTCATCAGTTGTGTAACCAACTACAAGAAYAAAATAATAATAATTGTTTAAAGAACCACCTCAATCATAGTAAACTGCAAGAAAACTTAGTATATACATTTATCTTTCAGTCTTTTTATTTTTATTTCCTTTTCAAGTAAATGAATTCAAAAATTAAATAATCCACAGCTGCATTTTTATGTGGGCCTAAGTTAGAGTGGGTGAAACATTACATTATCAGCAATATTAGGATGACTAAGAAGTACTTGTTACAGTGTGTACTTTTCAAATAATGAAAGCAAAGCTCTATTTTCCACAGCTTTCAAGCCTCCATATTCATTCATATTCTATTTCAGCAAAATATGAAAAAGCTGAATTTTAACAACACTTAGGAGTCTGAGTAACTTCAAAAGAATTTAACAACTCAATTATTGTGATGAATCTTGGTGYTTGTGTAAAACAACCACTCTGCTTATTTGTTCAGACTAAAAGCCCTGATTCATGAAAGCAYTGCCATTCAGGAAATACTTGACTAGGAATTACAGCAGATGTGCAGTCCTACAGAAATTAGCTCAGTGCTTTCATGACCTCCTGAGTATGGGCAGACCTCAGCAAACCTCTGAGTGCCTAAATCATATATACATCACCATCAAGCAAGAGGCAGGGAAATTTAGACTCACAATATTCAAGAACAAAGCAATATTGATTAAATATACATAATCAGAAAAATGATTTTACATGCCATTTTTTGTTACCTTCTCTTCATTAAAGATTAACTTAATTCAAACAGAGATAATGTGTGTTAGATGGGAAAAGAGATGAGCAAACATAAAAAATCGAGTTGCAATGTGTTGTTTTGCAATTCAAAGCCTTGGAAAAATGTTTAAAGAGTCATTCTTTCTCTGGAGGCATTAGATTATTTTTAATTTTTGACAAACAGGTGTGATTMAGAAAGTGAAACTGTTCATAGATGATGTCTCTACGATTCACAATTTAATAAAAATTACAATGTTTCAAAGCTCCATAATATTAAAAAAGTTATATTTCATTAAAAAGATTGTTTTCACCCTATTCCAACACACAGCATATCACAAAACTGCCAAGACCCTCTATGATAACAATTACTGAACAGTGAAAATTGTGTCTATTGAGAATATGTAGAACTCGGGATCATAACTGTGGATATGAGAACATCTTAATGATGACTGAGGGCCTTTCTTGATTTTGAAGTCTAGCAAGTAAAAACAAAATACTGATTTGAAAATAACCTAAGAAGAATAAAAATGCCAATTGCTAACAGGGAAAGAACTGGAAGGACAGACAGGAAGTCATGGGCACCATTCTTACTTTTGATAACTGAATTAAAAGRTAGAAGAAAAGTTTAGTGCATAGACTTTCCAAAACAGCAAATTCATCCTGAATTTAAATCTATCATCTTAGCATGAWTTTTTATGAGTAGTTCATCCTTGAGTAACTATAGTTTGCAATGCTTGAGAAGCAACCTTCTGAGAAAGGTTGCTGAGAAAGGACTGAGAAATCTTGAGCAAACTTCCATTAATATTACTATCTAATTCCTGTTTAACCCCAAACTGATTTGGTTTTACCATAAGAGTTTACCTCAGCTAAGGTACACATAAGGTTGTCTCATAGTGATGAGAAAAACTACTGTGGACATTAAAATTCTAAAGATAAATTCTGGCAATCAAAAACTAAATTGTAAATTCAGTTATTATTATTATTATTATTATTATTATTATTATTATTATTATTATTATTATTATTATTATTATTATTATTATTATTATTATTAACATTAACATTAACATTAACATTAACATTAACATTAACATTAACATTAACATTAACATTAACATTATTATTAAATCATCATCATTATCACTCATCCTCACTGTGACACCCTGGACACCCTGCACAGTTTTGGTTAACCTTGCTTTTCCTTTCCCTAACCTCACCTTTCCCACCAGACCTGCTGGAGTAAGAGATGAATGAGCTTTTTCTGTTAAAGCAGGAGCAGACTGAAACAAATCACCTTCCTTCTCTCTGCTTCACACTCATCCTTATTCAGGAAAACAGAATTACCATGCAAGTGGGACCACCAGAAATCTAAGTGTTGGAAAAAGCTGTAGTTGAGTAGGCACCTGTGTGCCTGGGRCATGGAAAGGAAGATGGATTTCAGAAACATTTTGTCTGCAACTTCCAGCATGGCATGAAGCCCTTCAGAGATGTGACCTGYCTGCCCTGTTGTAAGATTAAATCATCTAGAGACCAGGAAAAGATGCCAGACTACAYCCACAACACATCCTGAAACCACTTTCAAAAGGTTTCAAACTAAATGATCTCASTGCTTTTCCTTTAGTGCTGTATCAAATGTGTTCCAAACAATACCAGTGCATCAATGCAAGGGGATAAATAGGGTCACAATGACCTACAAARCAGCACAGGTTGTGGAAGTCAAAACTTCTAAATGCTTAATAGCAAAACCATTCTTTTTTTTTTTTCAAATGATATGTACTTCCATTTGTGTAAGTTTATTGTAAATGCCTTTATGAAAGTTCTCAGTTGTCATTTTAGTTCATAGCAAAAGCTAAAATTAAGAGTGCCCRGTGCCAAAACTGTAAGAAACATTTTTGATAGGGAAATTTACATTGGTATAGGAACCGGTGAGTATCACTGGTTATCAGTGATTAAAAATGTTGAGATGAAGTATACAGAATTGATAATTTTTGTTCGGGTCTCATGCATGCCTAGAAAAGAATTGTTTTCATGCACAGAGTGATTTACATACAGCTTTCCAATTGCATCTTGCAGCGCTGTGTATCCATGGGAAACAAGGTCAAGTCCAAAGGGCATGACAGTGTAATAGACAATCTGAAAATACAAAAATRGTATTTTAAAACAGTGTGAGCTGCCAGATAAGCAGTAGATGGCCATGAGAAAGAAAAAGTCACAGGTACTTGCTTTTCATCTTCTAAAAGAGCACAAACAAAATCTAAAAGTGATAATTAGCAGTTTGAAATGGAGATACCTGTAGTATAAATTAAGAAAATAGAATTTTATAGAGCGTTTTAAACACATAGTAGTTCACAAATTAGAGAACTAGTAATACGAGACAAGACACATTAAAATGTCCACACACAACAGAGTCCTGTGTCCACCATTGGCCAGTGGCAGACTTGTAAAGAAGAACATGACACTACAGCAATCTGGAAATGCTGTTTTKCCAGATATTCAGCAGCATCCCAAAAGCTGCACCTCAAGGACTCCCTAAACCATAAGTGATTCTTCACTATTTAAGGGGCCTCAACAGTTTTTTTTGTCTCAAAGAAGTTGTTTTGCTTCCARCTTCTTTCTGGAATCTAGGTGTCCTGGTTTCAGCTGGGACAGTTATTTTTTTCCCAGTAGCTGGCRCAGTGGTGTGTTYTGGATTCAGTATGAGAATAATGTGTATAACACACTGATGTTTCTGGTTGTTGCTCAGTAGTGCTTATCCTAAATCAAGGACTTTTCAGTTTCTCATACCCTGCCAATGAGCAGGTGCACAAAGAAATGGGAGGCAGCAGGGAAGGGATGGGCATCGGTCAGCAGGTAGTGAGCAATTTTATCCTGCATCACTTGTTTCTCTTGGGTTTTATGTCTCCCTCCTCTGGCCAGTTTTATTACAATTAGTATTAGCATTAATACTTTTATTTTGTTTTACTCTGCTTCAATTGTTAAGCTGTTCTCAACYCACAACTTTTACAGACTTTATTTTCCTGCTTCTCCTCCCCAACCCATTGGGGCTAGCAGGGTGTGAGTGAGTGGTGCTTAGTTACCAGCTGGGGTTAAACCCTGACACCACATAAACTTTAACATGCACAGCATCTTGCAGCAAAGAACTCCATAGCTAAGCTGCACACACTCTAATCACACATTTTTATCTATCCTCAGTCTGTCTCATAGTTCTTTTACTGTAASGGAATGCAGAAAAATCAATGTCCATCCATTCTCTCTGTGCCATTTGTGATTTGGAGATMTCTATGCCACCACCTCAATTATTCTGTTTTCTCCAGTGTGAAAAGTTCAGCTTTGCTCAGCTGTTCCATACCTTTGACCATCCCTGTCTCCCTTTCTACAGCTGGAAGACCAGARTTGAATTCAAGATGCAAGTATAGCACACATTTATGCAGTGGCATGACATTCTCTTTAATCCCTAATACTTCCAGGAATTCAATTCACTTTCTCAAACTGTACTGAGCTATTAGCTGACATTTTCAGAGAACTAACCATTACTGTGCAAAGCTAATTTTCTTAGATGGTAATAACCACCTCACAATCAATCAGGTTTTATGTGAAATTAAAATATTTTTTTCAATCATGCATAATTTTCAGTTGTTTACATTGAATTTCATCCCATACTTTCTTTCCTAGTCATTAGATTAATTTGTGTTCTCACTGTTGTCTCTTATCTTTATTGTTCTGCATATTTAGGTATCATCAAACATACTTGCAAATTCAGTTTTTCAGATGATTTATGTTGAAAAGCACAGAACACAGAAGAGATTATTTTTGTGGGAGTCTGCTGTTTACTTCCCATGATGGGAGCAGTAGCTGTTTATTCCTGCATTCAGTCTCCTAAWTCTTAAGTATTTGTGTAAGAGCTTTTTCATACACCTTTTGTCATGCAAGTATTTTGATAATTGGTGAGTCTTTCATTTATACTTGATAATATCTCTGTAAACTAAAAACACATTTAAAAATGTCACCGAACCATAGTTTCTCAAAAAATTCCTCTTACCTGCATACATATAATGTAAGAACATAGTGTGCTATTAAAAATAAATGGAATATTTTTAGAGGGCAACAATAATTTCTAACTGTATTGAACCTGGTTTTCTTGTTTGCAAGTTTTCAGAGAATAATTTTTCCATCAGAAACATTTCCATTGGTATTCACTYAGTATTCACTAATCATTAACCTTACCTATTGAGCTCATTTATAAACAGCTGCRACCCAGAAAAAAAAYTGGAAAATGTTTCAATGTTTAATTWAACATTTGCTTTTTCAAATGGGAAGCTTCTTTCAGAACTGAAGGTTATTTTCTACTTTGAAATATTAATTTCTACACACTTCATAAGCTGCTACAGAAGCAGCTGAAATCAAAACCAAGACCTTCAGAGCAAGCCAAATGAAGTGCTTTGATTGCCCAATGTAGGCTCTTTTCTGGCCACTGCCAGGAATAGTCTTGAGATTKACTTTTCTCATCCTCTTTCAAAATGGACAAAGAAGACCCCTAACTCATTCATATTCTTCTTTTTTTCTATCCATTTCTACTCCAGCAAGAAATAGCTCATGTGACCCTAGCTTCTGAAGTAGTTCTTTCTTAAACATAATGTTGCAGTATATTCAGAYAATTTTAACATCTATCACAGCAATATGTTAAAGCTCACACCAGAAGAAAATTCACTTGCTGTTAGGAAATTGAGGCTCATCTTTACAAACTATAAACTCTCCAGATCCATAGTTCACTATGACCTCCTTTTTAATCAACTTACTTGCTGTTTTCAGTGGATGACTATTTTTGTGGCATCTTGTATACCTTTGAAAAAACAAGCCAAACCACCAAAAAAGGATATGCCAATTTCAATTAAACTGAACAGCAATTTGGGGTCTTCTGAAAAAAAATTCTATCCAGTAAGGCATAGAACTTAATGYGGATTATTTCAAAGTACTCTTACAAAACACACATATTCACAAATTTTGTAATTTCTGCCTTTACCTACATCTTTAATAAATAATCATCTTTTACTTTACTTGCTGTAGAAACTAATAGTGTGCAACATATGCTGTTTTGCTGAAGACTTTATTTCAGATATATTATCCACTCCATTATGCTTCTAGGAACCTAAGCAAGGGTTTAAATGTAGTTTCCAATACTCCTAGTTCAGTGTGTTAGCTTAACGTGACATAGAAATGTATATACACTTCAAATTTCTCGTACCTGAAATGCTTTAAAACACCTTCATCTGATTTCTTTACACATAATTTATTGTAGCATTGTTTACAAACTGTCATCTAAATTTAAATATTAGTCATAAATTGTATTACATAACTAAGGCTAATAGAATATATGTATTTCACATAAATTCACTTAAAAAATATTGGAAATATATAAATAAAATACCTCATGCTGACCAGGACATCTCCATCTCGAAATATAAAAAGAAGRATATTTTCTTGTGTGACATCATGGAAGTTAGCATTTTTTTCATTTGCAAAGAATAAGTCTGGTTTCCAAAGACACTTAAACATAGTTGGGTCCACCGTCAGTGTATCTGAACCTCTCCAGTCATTGGGCAGTTTGAGTCTGGGGTCATTCCACTTCTGTCTTAGAAAGATGTTGACTCTATAATCCTGATGGGAAGAACAAACAAGTATTAGGCTAGCCAAAAGTCTAGCAAAAACCCTGCAGAGAAATAAAAACATTCTATCAGACTCAGAAGAGAGAAACAATTTATGCTCTGATTTTTCTATCACAAAGACAGTAATCACTATTCAAATTACATTATGAAGCATTATGTTTAACAGACTTTACTACAAACAGATTATACCTCACTCATGTTTTGAATAGAGCAACTTTCCTTAAACAAAGGACCAAATTGCCACCCCAGACTCATTTTTGCATCCCCTCAGTAGCAGTCCCACTACCCAGACACAGAGAAAAGCATGCAGCAAGGGCAGAGAGAGGCCATAGCTTGACTACACTAAATGGCTGCAGGCAGCAGGCATGATATCACTTCCATCAGGATATCCTCTGAGTGCCAATTCCAGTTTATTCTCCATTTRGTTAAGTGACACGCTGATGGCAAAATATCACACTATAAAAGCAGAAAACAAACCAGGTAGGTAACAGATTTTACACTTCACACCCAGCAYACAGCCTCAGACCTTTTAAAAGAGATCCAGAACCATTTTAGTAAAAGAAAAACTGATGCCAGCTTGCCACGTTAATACTGAGGTAGCAGGTATGAAAGGAGAAACAGAATCAGTCTCAAAGAGACAAAATCAAGGCTTTACAGAGGAAATATTTTTCTGGATTCAGGAGGACTCTGGCTGAAGGACGGACAGTAGTAGAGCCATGCTCAATGAGAACCTAATTTTGCTTTTGGGAATTGGAGTAGCATGTGTCTCAGGGCAAAATGATACTTTGCACGTGTTCTGTCCTTAGTGAAAGCTGTGTGCATCCAAAGGAAAAATCTGACCTCAAATGTCAGCTATGATTTCTCAGTCTTATCTCTTAAGTCTTTCTGGTTTTTACATTTACACTTAAGCCAGTGCCTTTTTTTGATGTGTATGTAAACTAGGCAGATCACATACAGAGAAAGAATAGTTATTGTTGAAATAAACAAACCCAAACAAATGAACCAAAATTCTGTATGCAAGATAATTTCTATCTCCAGTCTTCCTAGCTGCCTTCTATTGCGTGCTTTGTTTTTTCATATCTGTCTATTAGGTGCAAAGCCTCCTGAGATAAGGGCTGTGTCTTTCAGAGCAGTGAAAACACTGCTACTGCACTACAATTATAGCAAAACACTAGAAATCTGTGAGTGGAGGTTCTTGGCATATTTTTGATTTGCCAATGGATTCTGCATACAAACTAAATTTATAAAGTTTTTTATTCTACATGTCAATGACTCCTACACATTTTTTGTTTATACAGTGGGAATTATCATCTGCTGTGCTTAATACATTTACAGTCCAAAGAGGGTGTCACATTGAGACACTCATGCTGACTTGAGCCAAAAGGAGTCAACTTGGCTAAGACCTCATTCAGAAAAATTAATTTTGTTGATTTGCTCTGTAAATTTAAATACAGTGCCCACTTTCCCATATCTAGTCCACCAGTCAAATTAGCCCAGGTACTTCTTTATTACACTATATGGTATAATATTTTTCCTTACTGCATTGTCAGGAAAATCAAAGCATCAAAACTAAGTATTTGCTATTTGTTGGTAGTCAGTTTTGGAAAAAATATACRTAGTCTGACTTTTATTTATACAAACACCTATACTGTCTTGCCAAAGTTATGAAGAAGAAAAAAAAAAAATAGTTAATATGAAGTGAATTTGTACTGGAAGGCTCTCATAGAGAAGCTTCATAACTGGAGGGAATTCAGGTCATTATCTCAGAAAGCATCTTTTCAATTATATGTATATAATTGAAAATTTCCTTCACTTGCTTCTTGCTGCATTCCATATGCACCTCTTGTCTCAGTGAAAAAACAYTACTGTAAACCATATGAGATAAATACTTGCATACCATTCATGCTCACAAGCATTACGCTATTTTTTACACTGAATTCAATTTACTTCCCCATAATCAAGTGCATTGCCCTAATTTTAAACAAAATAGGATGCCTTCTCAAAGCCATAGGCAAATGATAAGCACTGTCCAACACTTGCCTTCAGCTTACCCATTCAGTAGAAGGAGATGCTTACATCAATGAAAAGCAGAATGCACTGGTAAAATAAGAATTGGAAGTAAGATCAGGTGGATGCTATTTTATTTCCTTCCTTGCGCTATTACAAATGAACTTAAACACCAAACAATCAGATGTTTTGACATTTTAAGAACTTAAGTCYGTTCCCATTTAACTCAAAGGAAGAAAAATCCTATTAATCTAAATTGGGGAGGTTCAGGTCTAAACTAGAGACCTTGACAGGGATATTTGGAGAGGAAGACTATCACACACTTAAGGCAATACRGAAAATGTAGAAGGAAGCAGAGATGTCACAATACAAAACTGTGGCTAGCCAGACAACAATGTGCAAAAGGGCTGCTTCTTGGAAGAACATGCGCTGTTACAGCATCTAGCAGCATTAACGACTATGATCTGGGATAAATATATCTTGAAAGAAGTGTGTAAGTAGTCCTCTCAAACTTGCACAGTGAATTTTAAGATTCAGTAAGTGCACTACAATTAGGCTGAATAGGGGTTGAAGAAGCAGTCTGCATGGAGCACATGGTCTTCCTGCTGTACATTTTACAAATTTTTTTTTTAATATTGTAGAGTAGCTAGTATTTTATAGTAAAGAAGAGTCAAATAGCAACTAAAAAACTTGAAACTAGGGGAAAAGGATGGAAGAGATATTAATCAGCATTTGAGCTAGGAGGACTTTTCAGGTAGAAAGAAACAGAAGCATTCCACAGGGCTTTGTTTTGTCATGCAACTCCAACAGAAGGCWAGTTGTTTTCAGACAGGCTAGGAGGCACTCTAGGAAATATTTCAAAGGTCTATTAAATAGTGGGCATGTGGCCAGAAAACCACCTCAGGGCACAAAGCAAGCATAGCCTGTACATCTCTCTGCAAAATGGAGCACATAGAAGATAATGAAATACTTATCATATAAACTGCACTCATACAAAGAACGGCGACATAACAGTGCTTCCTTTTAATGAAGTAGAAAACGTAATTTTTAAGATTAAAATAAGGAAAATGAATTTTGCTTATATTCATGGATATTAAAACGACCTTTCTGAAAGGATGTAAAGTAAAGAAGAAGGAAGAAGTGGTGTTTTGTTGTTTGAGTCAGTGAAGAAAGGTCACACTCGATGCAAAACCCTTGAATATAGATTCTGTAGGCAGAGAGTCAGATCATCAYCACAGAAAAAAATATTATAGCCCTATGGGTATTTATTCTCTATCCCTAGGAATCCCTTGACTGGTCATCCAGTTTAAAACAGCTTCTAAATGTGACATAATCATACTATACCACAAACCTGCAGTCTGAAAAAATGTGTGCAAACKCAGAAGCAGAGTTAACACTGGATCATAGACAAGTAGTCTAATGATTTAGAAAGAATTCAGAATTCAAGATAAAGGGAGTTTACTGGAAAGGTAGCAGTTCTGGCATTAGCTCTTCTTTTTATTTGTACAAATTCTGATTCTCTCTGTAGTTAACTAGYTCTTTTGCTTAGTTTTTTGTAGCAACTTGCTTGATAAGCATGTAGAAATATTGCAATTCTCTTCAATATTAAGCAACACAGCAAGAACACTATCCTCTCTAGATACAGAGAAAATATTTTCCCTTCTAATTCTTCACAAGGGCTTGATTAAAGCAATAAAGGCTTCTTGGCATAGGTCTCACAAAATGGGTACTATCTTGCTTTAAGACAATGCAATATATCGATGCTTTTCTATAAAGAAATTCCTTTCTCTCTTAATCCTTAGTGGACTCTAACTCAGAGGAAGGTAATATCTACTCTTTGCTGAAGATGAGGCAACTGAGTAGCTAAGAATGTAATTATCACAGGACCAGAAGCACAGCAAGCAAAGCCTTTGCTCATTGGCACTCTAAACATTTTCTTTTTGTTGGGCCTTCCACCACAACCTAGCTTCCAATCATCTGGTCCCTAWTATTATTTTTACCCATGCTTCCATTACACAAAAAAAAAAAAAGAGTCATTGCTTTAGCATGGCTATAGTAGGATGCTTTACCCCCTCACAGGTTATGCAAAAACTTGTGAGTTCAATTATTACAGCTGGAAGTAGCTAGACAGTAAAGTATCATCACAATAATTCATTGACTCAATACTTAGAAACATATTATTTCACAAATTTTGCTATCAGTAATGATATCGCTCCAACCAGTTTAGTAGTAACTGGTAATTTTAGAGACAGTCTATAAATCAATATGCCTCATGATTCTCACCACCAGAGACAGTAGAGATGTAGCCAGCCACTCTCTTCTCCAACACCAAGGAGCCTTTCAGCAGTTCTGGTTCTTCTGCAAATGTCTCCTTTCCTGAACACAAGAGGCCCCCCTGATCCTTTACAGACTTGGCACCACATCTCCAGGAAATATTTTTCTTTTGATTCTGCAGACACAAGTCTTTTCCTACCCTAAGGGACCCATTTCTATTGTCTGGTATATTACCCAGACCAGTTGAAGACAAGTACCAACCTATCCCCCMGAGAGATGTGATTCCTGAATGTCCAATGCCTACTGCAGAAAAGTTTTCCTAGTAATTAATGGAAAAAAACAGATTGACTGTTTATTTTGTCAGTGCTTGCTGTGTTACACTAAAGCAATCAARTCATAATCCAAATTTCACATAAACATGCTTAGCTATCATGGTGATCAGCTAGAAATCTAAATAAAAGCATGAAATGAAGTAAGAATGGTGTCTAAAGTTCTGAATTATGGAGCAGAGCATGACTTATCTTACAGCCCATCCCAGAAAATCTGTGACTGACCGCACCAGGAAGGCATAGACAGGCATACATACATGGCTGTAGAGAGCATACTTCTTTTTTGTTTTTTTGGAGGGGTTGCAGGGAAGCACTTCCCTTACATTCACATTTTGTTACTATTTGAATCTGGTAAAAAAGCCTCTTTAAAAGTCATTTTTTAAAGCATGCAATTAATTTCAGAAACTTGAAAGGGCCATCTGGCCTAATATACTAGACATCTTAGGAYACTTATCTCACTCCTACTTTCCTGCTCTTCCTCCCTGCCCCTCTTTAAACTTGAGTCCTCTATTTGTTTTCAGAAATAAATCTCCTGGCCTTTTGGGCTAACTTTTTCTTTCATATTATTTCCCACTAATTCCATTAGTTAACTTACTATCCTTTGCAACCAAGCATAAATCTTTATTCACAGAAATTTCTGGCCAAGCTATTCAAAAGCTGTTCCAGCCACCCTGTATGTTCAACTTGGAGTGGCCCTCAGTCCTATTGAAATGTCATTAGGGTAACATGTAAGCTGGTTCTGAATTTTAAGCGGTCACTTTCAACAACAACAAAATGTGTTTTATTGCTTATTAGTGGTATTGTTTATTGCTTCTCTGCCATTATGAGTCAGAATGTTGCCTTAGTCACAGTATTAAAAAAAGCAACTTGATTTTGGGAACTGCCTCAAAGCTTTAGATGCAGCAGGTCACCAAAGTGATCAGGGAATGCCTCAGAATTGCCACTCAGTGCATGTCACAGCTGTGGCTTTCTATGTACTGGCACAACATGGTGCACTCTCCTTTTTTTACACAGAAAGAAAACCCAATCAGGTCAGAACAACTTCAATAATTAAATGCATTTTTAGGCAATATTTTTAATAGTATTTAGTGGAAACACAATTGCAAAAAATGATCTTCAAAACCCAAAATATCAGACAGGGCTTTGATGAAGCAACTCATATTTGGAAATTGATTTTGTTTCCCAAAGAAACAAAAGAACTCAAAATTGCAATGAGGATTATTTCATCCTGTTATTGATATATTGAAATTTTGTGGCTGAACTGGAAACACAGTTTTAGAAACTTCACTCCCCAGTTTATCTTTCTCATGCAGTAAATAAACAGGAATAAGGCTATGGTCATTGATACTCTATTCCTTTACCACTCCTTCTATTCCTCTATGATTTACTTCCATCCGCAGATCCACACAAAACAAAACACCAAAAGTCTCATCCTCATTCATGTCTGCTCTTTTTCTCTCATACACAGCCCTAGTGGTTTGTGGTTTTTTGAATAACACACCAAGCAACCTATGTGATAACTGTCAGGAAGATTCTTTAATTCATACTACCAAGTGGGTTCTTCCAATGAATTTAATAATTTATGGAAATTAGTCTATCTCTTGCATCTTAGAAATCAAAGATATTTTTCCATGTAAATAAGATTCTAAAAGCTACAATAGCCTGTGGATACATATAGAGTGAAACAGATTAACAAGTTTAGGTTTATGGTATAAAGGGCAGTCAGTCAATCCCTAACACCATTAACTTAATTCTCAGTGTCTGCAACCACAACAATTATTTCCATTTTGTAGTTCATAATCCTCCAYCTGAAATTTAATTTAATAAGAAAATTTCCTTGTGTACTACATGAATTTAATTTCTTACCATAGTTGTCTCTTGAATTGACCCAAAACTGTTAATGAAGATGTTAACTGCAACATCGACTGGAATTCCTTTAAGAAAAATAATTCAAGTGAGCTACACAATACAGAAAAGGTACATTATCCTTCATTTAATGTTCCTTTATACTGGTATCACAACATTACAATGTAAAATCCTTTTTTTTACAGGGTCATACAACTTCATCTTTTAAAGTTAGTATACACACAGTTTTCAGTCAATAGAAATCACTGAACATTTTTTCAACTTAGTGATAAGAAAACAGAAAACATAAAACTCCTTAGTCCAGAGAGCTAATCTTAAAGACTTCCACTGATCAAATATCTAAATGAGAATTTTTTAATTCCATGATTTTCTGTTAGGACAGAATGCATAAGCCAGTGTTACTCTTGCACACAGTGTAATGGATAGAGGCAATTGACATTTCTAGCAGCAGACACTCTTAACTGTCATAATGACAATCTATCATCCCAAATWACCTGTTTATGATTTATGATGAGAAATATTTCCTTACATTTTAAGATGCTACCTCTGTGTAAGTCATGTACATAACTGCAAAGTATGAATACAGGCAGGTAACAATTACTACATGCATCTTTYACAGGTATGTACCCTTGGTTTAAAGGAGTTGGAAAGCTGTTCCTTTAAAAATGGTTATCAATTTGCCAAGAAAAATTTCTAGAAGTCAGCAGYTGTGAAGATATTAAGATGGCCTGCATTTTTTTTCACTTTTCCACAGCCAGGATTCCTGTAGTTGAAGAGGGATGATATGACAGCTGCTACATCTGCCCTCTGTCACCCTGTGGGAATTGATTGGCAGTCATTTAATCTGGTGTTAACAGAGAGTTATCACAGAGCAAGGAGAAGTGGCCTGATAGTTGAGAGAACTGATTATGGACCACTAGTTTTATTTAGTATCTCTATGGTGTCAGTGTCAGGATGTCCACTAGATGCAGGTATCTGGTCTCATTTACAATGTTACAAACACTCCATGGGTTTCTTCCTACTTTCAGCAACAAAAGAGATATAAGAATATATCAAGACTGTTTTGATAGACTAAGTAAATACAGTACAAAGTAATATATGCCTCTTCTAACAGTGCGTTTGTCTGCATAAAATATTTTTATGTACATTTAATACATAAATTCAAACTCATTCTCTTCTTCTTTATGAGGACAAAATTTCACATTTTCCAGGCAAATCTGTTTACTTGGTTTGGTTTTGGCTTTGGAATTTTTTTAATCAGACTACTTAAGTGTGATGCTTTGGTTATGCAATAAGCATAATACTTCTTTGAATGCCTGATTCATGTGACAGAGCACCCATCACATCACTAGTAGCCAAGAGTGTACTCACTCCCAGATTTGAATAGGAATTGCCATCCAAGAAAATCACTCAYGTGTGAGGAACATTTTAACATGGGCAAACCAGTTGTCAGAAAATGTTCTTTTTCTTCCACCTCCCTCTGAGTTAACATTACATGTCCTCCCTTTTCTTTCCGTCTTGATTCTTACCAGACAGCCAGAAGGGTTATCAAAAATATAAAGAAATCTGCAACATGCTTTATGATTACAAGCTGATTATGCTGAAGAACAGGTAGAGAAGAGGCTGGACATTTATTCTTTGTGACAAGGCTCAATGCTGAAAACATATAAATATGGTTTTACAGAGAATAAGAAAGAAGCAGTTTGCTTGCTGAGAACGAGTTTAATACATTTATAAAACAGTTAAATAGAATATCTATTATAGAAAATAGCATTTTCAGAAGTACAATAAAAATTAAAGACTTCCAAATTTTTCATACTAGTGATATTCATGTTAAAATATGTCTTAATGCACATATAATTATGTGGGGAGTTTTAAAATTAAAGGACTGTTTTATGTAAACTGCATTGCCCAYGCAGTTAAATAGTCTATGTCTTTTTTCAGAAGGTAAATAATCTAATTCCTGGAAAGCCTAACTTACAGCTGTGTAAGTTATTAGACATTTTGCAGAGAGTATGTACTCCAGCCTCTTTTGCTCATTCAAGGATTCACACTTGCCTGCATGGAAGAATCCTGCAATATCTGACTACCAGCGGGATGTTTTAAAGGCAGCAAATGTTTAAAKGCACTACCTATTTGAATTCCCAAAGTATGTAAGCTGTATAACTAATAAAGGATTTAATACTATAGTTTCCTAACAGTGATACTGGTGATCATAACTTTTTATAGTCATCTTAAAGGATATCTATAGAGAAATTTGGTGGTTTAAAATACTGTAAAGCAGAGTCTAACTAAATATAGGGATAAAAAGATATTTTAAAAACTTGTTTTATGAATTCTATTTCTACTKTTAAAAAGTCTTTAATAAAATAAGCCAAATAGTAATAAGACATCACATTCTATTATGATAATGAAATCCTAAYATATTATCTTTCAGCTCAGAAAGATAAATATCTTCAGCAGTTTCACACTATCTAGGGAAGTTTTCATTTTAATAAACCCTYAACAGAAATTTGGCTTGTGAATATTAACTCTACATAAATTTTCTCTGTGTGAAAAGAGCAAAAGTTAAAATCCAAAGACTAAAAAAAAGGCTGAAATATCTGACAAACCTTTGAAATTAGGCCTTATCCTGGGATCATAGCTGAGCAATAGCCTATTCAAGATGTTGCTGGTAGAATTAGCAGGTACTCTTGCAAGGTCTTCAGCTGATTGCTGCCTGTAAGAAAAAAGTTCATTAGTCACTATCAAATCAGAAACAACTGTGTGCTAAAACTGAATTAATTTTAAAGTAATGCCATAAATGCCATTTAACAAGCAAAATATGTTCATTGTTTTCAGGTGCCATACTGTATAGTCTTCCTTTCCTTGAGATGTTTCAGCATTTTTCAAAAACCTCTTTGTGTAATAAACACAAATGCTCTCTGACATACTCTTAATTGTAAACTTGGAAACAAATAAACTGCAATTCACTAACTGTTCCCTTCCCTCCTAACACAAATATCCGGAGGGACATGATTTCCTCATCAGTAGAAAGCAGACACCTGAACTATTTTTAGTGACTGTCAGATTAGGAACCTTAGTAAATTGACAGCCACTTTGTAGGTGCCAAACCATGCAGAGGCTTTTGGCAGTCTCCTGCTCTCGCATGCCAGCGCCAGCCATTCCACCCAGAGCTGGAGGATTGCATAATCTCATTGTCAAGTGCTAATAAAAGCTTTGCTACAGAAAACAAGGCCTTGGACTCTCCTCTGGTTAAGCAGAGGGAATTTAAACATCTTCATTACCTTGCCATTATTGTGCTGGATGTTAAATGAAAATCATGGCTACAATCAAAAAGAACCTGTGACAGGTAAATATAGCTACAAGGGTACATGAAATTGAGTGTAATAAAGAGCAGTGTGCGTGAGTCGGTCCCCTCCCCAGGTATTTTAAACACCAAGCAGGCTGATAATGTCAWGCAAATGAATTTGTATGTTGTTTCCAGAACCTCTTCAATGACTGTTTCCAGTTTTGAATTCTGTCTCATAATCACTTTTCCATCCCTTGTATGACTACTCCACTTTGTCATTATAATTCACTAACCAGGATGCTATGYAAAAATAACTCAAGCACCTACAGAGGTGTAAGTCATATGTATCAACGCTATCACCTCTTGCAAACAAAGGTATGGCTGTATTTTAAACAATGATCAAGTTTATTTCCTAAATGTTTTCCATAATCAGCATCAGCTGCAGTTGCCTCCTTCACCCTGTAATTTCTTTTYTTTATTATTATTCTCTCCCATACCAATGTCAGTTTGACAGATCTACAGGTTATTCTTTATAGCATCTCAGTTCATTGCTCTTTTTCTTCTCATTGTTCAGTTTGCTTCATGTCCTCTGGGATTTCTGCCTTATTCAAACATTTATTGAAGAAAACATTAACTCTACAGAAGGCTTTTGATCAGTATATAAAAAAAAGCATGAATCAATTAGGCCTCTTGATTTAGCTCCCGTTCAGCATTTTTCTTATTGATTACTGGGAAATAATTAATTAATAAACAACTGTCAGCATTGCATGACATCATTCTTTGACTAAAAACTGGAGATAAGACTGTATCCTAGCCCTTGAATAACCTCACCTCTATAATTTATGAATAACCTCACCTTTAAAAACAACTGGTCTAACTCAARCGATAAGGCAAACAGGAGCAATCAGATCTTGCTGACTTGGTAGCACTCACTATGCCTTCCCAATGAGATTTAATCGCCTCAGCTAGAATTTAACAGCTAAAATATTTATAAATAAAACTATAAAGAAGTTCCCTATTACTAAAAACATGTCAACCACTTATGATAACATAACTGCATTTTATTATATCATAGTCTCCTTGATACTCTCTGAGGATTTTATTGCTCAGGAAAAAAAAAATCAGATTTGTGTTTTCTATTTTGTATTCAGGATATTTCTGAAACCYAAAGCTACATATCTGCTTAGCTATTTTCTTGTATTTGCCTGATATGATAAACGAGGAAAAAATTATGGCAATAATGTGGCATTCAATCCTCTTTGGAATTTTGGACTACTCAACAGTAATTAACAGGATAAGTATGCATTCCAAAGACTGCATTGAGATGTAACTACCAAGAAGAATGTATGCAAGAGGATAGTTTAAACTGTAACACACAGGAAAAGAATCGTGGAACAGCATTAAGTGGCTGCTGTACATAATGTSCCACCCATTTCTTGCACTAAACACACTAAACCCTCTGATCTGTAACAACCACACAGGTGAACTAAATGCTCCAGCAGAACTTATCCAGAGATAACTGATCTTCAAATAAAACCAGGAAGTGTTTACTTTTAGCAACATACATTGACTTCCTGTTATGTATACAGAACTGTATATTCTGTATGCAATAAGCCTCTGTTAATTTAATATTAGAGAATTTAAAAAGCAGTATGTTTTCTAACTCCTTTGAATAACTGATAAATTCAYTTTCAAACAATCCTCCCAGGGCTTATATGATTTTATATTTGACTTAGAATTGGATCATTATGCAAAAGAGTTAATTTATTTCCTTGTTCAGTCTAGTAGACAGACTAGATGATCAGTGCAGGTCCCTTTCAGCTGAAATGCTCCATTCTATTCTATTCTATTCTATTCTATTCTATTCTATTCTATTCTATTCTATTCTATTCTATTCTATTCTATTCTATTCTATTCTATTCCAATTCTGTAATTTTGAGATGTGTTCAGTTTTCAGTGATGACTTTTACCAATGAAGAGGTTGCTACAGAATTATCATAAATCAGCTTTGTATGCTTTTTTTTGCTGTCACCATTAGTTGAACAAAAGGCAAACGTAAGGTTAAGATTATTTTCCATTTTCTAGAAAGAGCAATTCAGAAAAGAATGTTAATTTATCTATTAAAAAGTCAGGCAAACACTCTGTATGCTGCATTTTATCTGATACAGAAAGGTTCATGGCACTGCTTTCTTGCAAGTCACACATACTAACATCTAAAACATCCACATCAGATGACTACAAAATCTGCATTTATAAAAGAATCTCCTTAATACTGACAATAAGAYTTCTTTCTAAATTATGTACGACCRGGATAATGAAATATGAAAACAAATCCAAGCAACAACTAATGAACAAACTTAAATACTTTTTTTATTATTATTTTTGTTATGGGTTATACAAAGCAGTTCATTAAATAGTGAAAACAATAATCTGAATCACACAGGATAACATGGACACATAAATTAAATACAGATGCTCATAAAAAGCAAAAGGAAAAAAAGGAAAAAGGTTTGAGAAATTAAATGAGAGAACAACAAAAGSAAAAGAAAGCCAAATACTACCGACAGGATTATTTGTCTCTTCAAGTAAGAGGAATAAAGTGATGATTTTGGGAGATCTGAGCTGCATTGCAGAAGTATATTAATACAAATATCTGTTCAGGCCSTTTGTTCACAAGCCATCCAAAAACTGGGTAAACGAGATTTATTGGGAAGACAGTGATGGGAAGAACAATGGTGGCGTAGCTTGCCAGTAAAAAACACCACAGTCACATCTTCCACAAGTTCTTGGGTTGTATTTTGAACTTATACAAGTGTGCAAGTGCATTCGTCCTTGCTTATCTAGAAACTAAGTAAAGTACARTGGCATTGGCCGTTTTGAGTTAGCAGGAGAAGCCTTGAGATTCAGTAACTGCTACTTTGAATGAAGTGGTTGAAATAGCCACTGGAATAAAAAAAAGCTCTGCTGCGAAWCAGTCATATTTTCACTGTGGCTCTTTTACAGCATGCTGTCATTAAACTACCATCATTCAATAGCATGCAACAAAACTTCATCATAATGACTGGATTTCCTTCTGAGAGCCTTGCTGACCAAAATGCCTAAATTTCACCTGGAAATCAATATGTCAGATGTATTCCTTGGGGCGACTAAACACTTTCAGAGCAACAGATGAGCCAAAAGACTTAATGAAACAGTGAATGTGATGTGCTAGGTGCCTGGATAAAGAAGCTGGGACTATTAAGGTAAGATATTTACGCAGAGTCACAAATACCCTTGCTTAACTGGCCATTATGGAATGAATTAACGATAGACATATTTCTATATTACAACAGAGAAAAAGGATTTGAGCACTGAGATCTGCCTTCCTAGAAGAATCGTTACTCCAACGTGCTGAAAGCCGACTCCCATACAACAACACTCAAACAACCGGTTACTTACTTACCACTTTTTCTAGTTCAACCTACAATTTTCCCACTTGTAAAAAGCTGGTAACTTAGATTTCCACCAGTTGCAGCAAGCATTTTAACTTAAATGCATTTATTCCAACTTGTGTTGAATGCATGTGAAGCTGATAGACAAGCATTAACAAATGGCATGAAGCACTCTTTGCAGTAATTGATGAGTTCTAAACAAGATATGGTGAATGCCAAAGGAAAAGGCAACAGAAGTCTCACAGTTGCCATYGAAAAAAATTAAAAGCGATTGAAAAGAACTTGCCCTACCAAAAATTTTACCTAAGTAACAATTAAAAACCTCACACACAAGCAACATACAAAATATGCAAACCCAAAGTATGATATTCTTTTCTCTGAATAAATAAAAGGGAAAACAAGCAGCATTCTTGTATACACAAAAGTATTCTTAATTCTACAAACAGCATCCTCAAAATCCAGAAGGAAAACRAAGTACAATTAGTCTTTAGGTATAACATCTCTGTGTGAAATGTCTGGTCTTTTAGAGGTTACATTTGGTATCACTGAGGAATCAAAGAATTATTTTACATACTGTATTTCACAGGATATGCAGTAAGGTGTCCATCTTCTCTTCCACTGAAGCTCTAAACATTTTATCACTGCCTTTGAAGATCATGATCAACATTTTCAATTGATGGCAACAGGTAATTATTTTTATACTTCACTAATCAAAATCCATAAATTCAGATACACAAATATGCATGACAAAAGGAAGCATGTATTACACTTGGTTTGAAATTTATATAGCTTCTTACATTTGTGTTAGGCAAATTTGTCAGAAAACATTATATCTCTATAGGTCATCATGACATTTCTTCTCTCAGAGCTCACTGAAGTTAAAAGAAGTCCTTACCACATGCAGTGTTACAGGAGGAAAGAATATAAACAATATTCTACACAAGCAAGAATGAAAACGTTTTTCATGGTTCTAGATTACTGACAGGTAAAAAKATG